TCATAGATGGCACTAAGGTTTAGATTAGCGAAGTCTCGAGGCTTAGGCAAAATTTACCTGGCTAAAATATATAGTTAGCAGTTTTTAAAAATCGGCTCAACTCAAATCATTGTACAACGTTAGTAAAAAGCTAATATTTTGATAATATACTATATAATATTATATTTATAAAAAAATTAAAACTGATATTTATAAAAATGGAAGTAAATAATATTTTGAGAATACACTATATTATATATTGCATAAAAATAAAACTAATATTTATAAAAATGGAAGATAAATTTTTCTTTTAAATATTTTAGATTACATTATATATCTGTTTTTCAGGAAAATAAATTATCAATTTTCATAAATTTACTACCACATTTATTTCTTCTTAGATGAGATGAACCATGATTATAATTATAGGATAATAAATTTACCACCACATTTATTTCTTCTTAGATGAGATGAACCATGTTATAATTATAGGATAATAAATATGAACAATTTATGCATTGCACATAGCCAATATTTTTATTTTCATCAATAAAGATATTAAATTTGGACCAAATATCTGATTTTAAGCTATAAATTTTTACAATATATTAGAATATTTGCAAACATATGACAGGAAAATAATAATTGTATTATGCAACGATGCTATGAGTGTTAGATGGTGTTAACTTTCTCCCAATATTATATTAATCATAACGATATATATAATCATTTGAACCATATCTAATTTCGGAGGTGTCGACAGCGAGGTTTCTAAATAAAAAAAACAAACTCCCTTTTTTGCTTAAAAATACAGGTAAAACAATTTAGATAAACCAAAACGCCAATATTTATTTTTCTTTGATAGCCTTTTAGAGATTTTTTTACCTATATCGATGATGAGAGAAATTCTAACAATCTTACATCTATATCCATTTTGCAGGAATTAAAAGAATATATAAATTAAATGATATATCTAATAATTATTTTATGACATCTGGAAAGAAAAATTTAAGCGGAAGTGCTTTTGAGAGCGAAATGGATGAATATTAGGGGAACCAGTTTGTCAAAATAATGCTAATATTTTAGATTGGTGGAGAGGAAACCAGACACGATTTCCATGCCTTTCTCAAATGGCGAGGGATTTTCTGGCGAAAAAAACAACTTCTGTCCCTAGAGAGCGGGTTTTCTAACAAACTCGAGATATGGCTACGAAAAAAAGTAATCGGATCCTCGAACACGTTCAAACAATGCCTAGCCCTATCGTCTTGGGATGGCAAGATATTTAATCTAACAGACGAATTATATAAATAAATATAATTATATTTATTTAAATATATATTTGTTATATTTTCATATTTAAAATATATTGTCTGTTATTTTAAATAAATTTTATATTCAAGTTTATGGTGTGCATGAGATCTATTTTTATAGGGACTAGGTGTGGAATAACTAAGCTGAAGCTAATCTAATCATATTAAACCTAGATTGTTTCAATATAAAAATATAATACGGGAGACCGAAGTTATTTTAAAAAATAAACTAAGCATATTTTTCAAAATATTTAAAAGTAGCTTTTCTCTTTACATATCTTTATTGTTAATATTTAAGGAAAATGAGGTGTGATAACACTATCCCCGGTCTATTTTTAACCTGGACGTATTAATATAAAAATGCAGAATTTTGTTAGATAAGATATCTATTATATAAGACAATACTATATTTGTTATGGTGAACAATTTAATATATATAATTTATATTGCTAAATAATTTAGAAGTAATAAAATTTCAGAAAATCTAAATAGTATTTTGTTAGATCTGCCTAATTTTTTTAATATTTCAAATTATTTTAATAAAAACATTTTGGAAGCCGATCCGATATCCCCGATATTAAATTGATAACGGCCGATCCGATATCCTATCTAATTTTGCCTTCTGCAAAGATACTAATGGTTTAAATTTTTAATACACTTTTTATTAGTTACAAATCAAGTAATTCAATTATACCATATCATATGTCATTTAATATTATAATGATTAGTTATAGTTTATATTCAATTCAATTGCAATTCTAAAAGTATATAAAATATTTTTATTGATGAATCGCTTATTTATATAATAATTAATAACATTAATTATAATAAACAAATATATTATGCAATTTGAAATAAATATTTATTAAATTAATATTTAAAAGTTTCTTTTTAGAAAAATGATAAATTTTCAATTTATCAGATGTTAGCCTGCATCGATGGGGACTGTCATTTTAAATATCGGTACATCCCTAAAAAAAGAAATAAATGTTTTGTTAAAAAAATATATCGTGGTTTGAAGTGATTATGATTAGCCTATATTTTGTTTATTTGTAATGTAATGACCCCTATCTATAAATAAAAATGAATATCAAAACTCAAAAGATATCGTTGTTTAACTGTCAACTACTGAGCCAACTCATCTAATCAGTTTAAGTCTTAGCCAATTTTTACAATTAGAGATCCCAAAAATTATAAAAAAAGATATACAGGGTTTCCTATCCAAAAAAGGAAAAGTCCCAATCAAAAAAGGAAAAGTCCCAATCAAAAAAGGAAAAGTCCCAATCAAAAAAGGAAAAGGTTCAATCAAAAAAGGAAAAATGTCAAACAAAAAAGGAAAAAGTTCAATCAAAAAAGGAAAAGGTCCGATCAAAAAAGGAAAATTGTCAATCAAAAAAGAAAAAGTCCCAAAGGTTAAGGAAAAAGTCCTATCAAAAAAGGAAAAGTGTCAAACAAAAAAGGAAAAGGTTCAATCAAAAAAGGAAAAGTGTCAAACAAAAAAGGAAAAGGTCCAATCAAAAGTGTCAATCGAAAAAGGAAAATTCCCAAAAGAAAAGGAAAATCGTAATTTTTTTAAAAAAATATATAAACTTTTCAATTTTTCTTAAATTTATTTATTTTTTGTCATTCCTTCTTATTTTATTCCTAACTTTTTGCTATTTCTTTACTTTATTTGTATCTTTTCTCAATTTATTTTTCTTACTATATCTTTTCTCTATTTCTTTTCTTCTCATTTTAGATAATTCTTTTTTAAAATTATATTATTTTTTACATACATATTTATAATTACAATATTAAATTAATCGTTTGGTTATAATAAATAAGTTTGAACTGTAATACCAAACGATATGTAAATTAATAAAATATAATCATTTTAAAATTCTTATATTTTTAAAATTATATTCAAAACGCATTTATTCTTTTTAGCAAGTAAATAATTATTTTGTAATTTAATTATCTTTTAAACTATTTTGATTTATGAAAAAGTAAACGCAAATGAGGTAAATTTTATAATCTTTTTCACTTCCATTTGTTGAGTATATACCAGGGATGTGAACCCTTCGACAAAAAAAATGGTCCCGGTTCGGGTCCGGTAATAAATTTAAAAAGGGCCCGGGTCCAGGGTTCGGGTCCGGGTTCAGAGGAAACATAAAAATAATGACTCAAAATAAGACTTTTTTTCATTCATTTTTTATTATACTTCAATATATACACATTTATAATTCGAAATGAGATAATTTATATTTTAAATATTTTATTCAATCGCACAATCATGATATCTTCTAAAATATCATTCTTCAGATTTCCACGTAAATTAGTCAACGATGAAAATCCACGTTCTACGCTTACCTAAAATAGATAGTCATTTTTATAATACATAAATTATTGTACTTGTGTCGCCGGTACAGCCATGACGATTCTAGAAAAGGTATATAATTCTGGATATATTGAAGAATTTTCCTCCCAGAATTTTAAAATGTTTGCATCTCTATTCATTCTCATAACTTCCGAGAACTTTTCTATTAAAGATACAATAGATATTTTTTGCTCCTTTCTATCAGATGATAATTTAATTTTTTTTCTCTATCTAATAGTAAAATTTCCAGATCATCAATATCGTTATCATTATCATTGTTATCGCTACAACCAGTAGATATTGTTGTAACCACCAATGTATTGTAAATAATAGAGTTTTGGGTATGACATAAATCTTCAAGATGGTCTATAGCCATTTGTTTTTGCTCACTACTTAATAAAACCTGATATCGCGGGTCTAAATATATCGAAGCATATACAACACTATTTTGCAAATATTGTTGCTCTCTTATTTTCGTATTTTCTAATACTTCATTTGAAAAAGAACTTGTTAATCTCCCTAACTCTAATCGACATCTTAACCATATGCCATAAAAATCCGATAAACATAATTGTTCAGCTTGCACTCTTAATGTTGTTATTTTTAAAGGAACCAGCACGCTAGTAAGCTCTTTTACTTGATTCCAATTATCTTCTGACAAAATGATTTCACATGCTCCTATGATAAAATCATTACAGAAATCTTTCAAACTTAATAATCGCTCTAGCATCATACACATAGAGGACCAACGTGTTGTGCAATCTAAAATTGCCATTTACCTTTTCATGGATTTTAATATTCCAACAATTGTGGGAGTTCTTAAATATTTTACAACATCCCTTGCTTTATCAATTATAGTTTTAAAGTGACTATTTTTTAGGGAGATTCCACGAAAAAAATTAATAAAATTATAAAAAATTTATATTATTTTTTAAAAATTATATTTTTACATTAATTTTTAAAAAAAAGTTTTAAGTTAAAAATTTTTAACACCCTGAACCCTTGGACCCTCCACTTTTTAAAAGGGTCCGGGTTCAGTCAAATACGAGGGTCCAGGAGGGTTCAGGGTACGGGTCCGGGTTCACTCCCTGGTATATACTTTAAAAATAAATTTTTTTGTTTTAAAAAATAAAATTATGATGATATGGTAAAAAGGGGGAAAAATATTAACAGTGAAACAAAAGCTCTAATAATTGACGCGTTAAAAAAAGATAGTATCAAAAATATAGCATCATGTTTTAAAGTAAGCTATAAGACATCACGCGCTCGCAAGAAATTAAATAAAGAGCAGGAAGAATATATATTAAATTGTATAAATTTAGATTGCACTTTATCCTTAAAAAGGTTATGAAGATATGATGTGGAAATATCAACAAATACGGTATCAAGGTTACTCTCAGGATTTAGGTACAGCTATAAAAAAAATATCATTACGTTCAGTTAGAGAAAATAACGAATCAAATATAGAGATTCGCAAAGAATACGCGAATTGGTTTGTAGATGTAGCATATATGAAAGAAAAATTTATATTTATCGATGAGAGTGGGTTTTCAATATCAATGAGGCGATTATATAGATATTCCCAAATAAATAAAAAGGCAATTAAAAATGTTCAAGGAATAAAGACAATAAATTACACTATCATTGCGGCTCTCACAATTGCAGGAATATTTCGATTCGAAGTTCTTGATGGCCCTTGCAATGCTATATATTTTAGCCTATTTATAAATGAAATATTAAATCATTTTGAAGAATCTAACATGATTAATATGATTTTTGTGATGGATAATGTTCCATTTCATCACAATCATTCAATTAGGGAATCGATCGAAAGAAAAGGACGTACATTGAAATATTTACCACCCTACAGTCCGTATTTTAATCCTATTGAGAATGTTTTTTTTCAATGGAAGGATTTTGTCAGAAATAAAAATCCTAGTAACGAGGAAGAATTAATTCGTTATATAGAACATGGAGAATGAGGAATATCTGAAGAAAATGCAAAAAATTATTTTAGAAATATGGAGACATATATCCCAAAATGTTGAAGGGGAGAAATTATTAATGATTAATATAAATTTTTGTTTCGTACTATTAAATATATATCGTAATTGTAATTAAATAATTTCATATGTAAAAAATTATAATAAAAAAGTTGTCTGCCAAAAATTTAGTGAAAATTAAATATACTTAAAAGAATTATCAAAAATGAGAAGAAAAAAAATTGAGAAAAGATATAGTGAGAAAAGATACAAATAAAGTAAAGAAATAGCAAAAAGTTAGGAATAAAATAAGAAGGAATGACAAAAAATAAATAAATTTAAGAAAAATTGAAAAGTTTATATATTTTTTTTAAAAAAATTACGATTTTCCTTTTTTGATTGACCCTTTTCCTTTTCTTTTGGGAATTTTCCTTTTTCGATTGACACTTTTCCTTTTTTGTTTGACACTTTTCCTTTTTTGATTGAACCTTTTCCTTTTTTGTTTGACACTTTTGATTGGACTTTTTCCTTAACCTTTGGGAATAAATTGAATATTAAGAAAAATTTAATTGATATATCCATTAATCTCTAAAATGATATAAATTAATTGAATATTAAGAAAAATTTATTTGATATATCCCTTAATTTCTTGCATGTTAATTTGGACACGATTCTAGATGTAGCCCATTGAGCTATTTTAAAGCTTGGGGAATAGGCCTAAAACGAATTATTTGTTATTTGATATTCGATTCGATTCGATTCGTATTTTAGGAATACGAATAACACAATTATTCTATTCGAAATTTCGAATCGAATATGAATAATGAGGAAAATTATTCGTATTATTCGAAATTATTTATATATAAATATTCGTAATTATTCGCAAATATTTTATTGCAAGTAAAATAAATCTCGATTTAATAAACTCTATCAGTGCGATTGAGAAAATAGAAACTTATTATAACTTAACAAATATTCACACTATAATATCAACAATACTGGATCCTAGACTAAAAATGGAATTTTTTGAGCAACTACCAACTACATATAACATAGACACGACAAATCTATTAGAAAAATTTAAAGGTGTATATAATGATTACAAAATAAAATATAATATCAAATCAACATCAGTTAACCCAATAGTACAGTCGAACATGGATAGAATTTTTAAACAAAATAACATCGCATCAGTATGTGAGGTGGAGACATATCTTAACGAAATAAGAATCAGTTCAAATAAGAGTCCCTTAGAATGGTAGAGATTGCATGGGGATCGTTTTCCTGTGTTGTCGAAAATGGCAACTGATATATTGTCAATTCAGGGATCTTCGGCTTCATGTGAGCGGTTGTTCTCAATAGGAACAAATATGATAATGAAAAATAGAATGTCTTTGAAGGAGGAAACTATTAGAAAGACTTTATGCTTAAAAAATTGGATATTATCAAATTCGGATTTACTATAATTTTATATTTTTGTGTATTATTTTATATTTTATTAAATGAGATTATTGTACATTTTTAGAAAATTTTAATAAAATTTGAATATTAGATTGAAGAAATAGTTTAAATATTTTTTTATAAGCAATTCTAATTCTAAAAATCGGATATTTTGGTCAATTTGTTTGGTTAACGTTATATGAAATCATTGGGTTTATTTCGTTTATTTTCTATAAATTTTTATATAATCCTTAAAAGTGTCATCTTTAAACATCTGTAAAATTTTTTTTGCAAAATATTTTATAAGCTTTAGAAAAATTTTCGAATCGAATCGAATATTCGACGAATCGAAACGAATAATGATTTTAATTCGATTCGTTTTTTTGTAGGCCTATTGGGGAATGAACCTCAAACTTAAAATAATATTAATTCTATTCTTTTATGATACAATTGAAATTTCCATAGAATTTAAGACATATAATTTAATTATTTTATAGTGTGAAAACTCTACCTATAAGATTTATCTGTTGCTTCTATAAATAGATTCTCAATACAACCATAGTAATTAAATGATATAAATAAATTAATTGAATATTAAGAAAAATTATATTGATATATCTCTTGAACACTAATATAATTTGAATGTTAAGAAAAATTAAATTGAAATATGAAAATAGAGACAAATATAATATATAAAAATTTATTAAAAGAATCTAATGTCAATATAAAAATTATTATAAAATATATAATATATTTTTATAATAAATAAATAATTTATATAATGCTATTAAATATGTCAATGCAGATTCATTTGTAAGTGTTGGTAAGGTACCATTTGTCTTCAGATAGTGTAGAAATTTTAAAACCTCAGTTTTAAACAGCACTTGGTTGTCTAGACTCTACAAGGTAAAATATAAATATAAAAATTAGCTTTACTGCATCCCAGGTGGCTTTTCTTCCAAAATTTATTAACCTATTAGCATTTAGTACTTTAGGTTTCACATGAAAATTAACATTTCAAATATTTTAAAATTAACTTTTTGAGAATAAAGAAACAATATACACATATAATTTTTTATGAATAGTAAAATATTTTGTGGGATTTATTCAAATATAGATGGTAAATAAAATCAATATAAATTTTGGAACAGTATTGTATAGGCTTTGTAGTAATATCAGAACAAAATTTGAGGGTTGGCACAGCCCTACTCTTTATTTTCTAAGTAGTTATTATCAACTTACCAATAAAATAAATAATAAGTAGGATTTCCTATTTTCTCCTTATTCAGCTTATCCTTGAAGTTTGTCAATTCCAATGCTAATCTAATTATATTATTATATTTAACATTCTTATATATTTATACCTGGAAACAATAACTGATAAATGTTCCATAATGATACTTTTTTTATGGTAGTCCAGGATTTCTCCAAATCTTTTGCTTATTTCAATTGTTCCATATCTTAAAAATATTATTATATCATTTAATAATTATTATTCTTACAATTTAGAAGAATTTTATCACTTCAAAATTTAAAAAGTTTTGAAAAACGCAAGCAAGTTTGTCTTTTAAAAAATAATTAATTCATTCATTACCACGCCTAGAAAGTTGGAGTGCACCAATTTACTAGTATATAGATCCTATACATGGTGTATATCCGTTTTATTATAGTGGACGGTACCACTATGTAGCCAGCTAGAAAAGTGAAGAAGGGAGAAATACGAAAGTGGTGATGTATTAGGTTACCGGCAGAATAGTGTTAAGAAATATAATATCATGTAATAATGTACCTGAATCCTGATAAGGTTATTTAGTGAGGCAACAAAAAAACAATAATAACTTTTATATCTTGGTGAGTATTGAGAGTTTAAGTTAAGTTTGCATGATGAGTCTCTTCTTTGTTTGTTGTTCGGTGTGTGTCGATATCGCGTGCCCTGTAGACCTTGTACGCGCTGTGCAAATGATATTTGGGTTCGTCGGTGTTATTATCATAACCAGTGTTCATTATCATTATCATAACCAGTGTTCGTTATCATTATCCATTATTCTATTTGTTATTTTGGTTCCTAGGTATATGAAAACTGAAACTAATTCTATCGTATTACCCTCAAAGTTAAAGGGGTTTAAGTTACTCGCATATGTATTTGAGGTGATAAGCTTGGTTTTTGTGTAGTTAACTCTTAATCCATATTCATAACAGTTGTTGACAAATAATGATAAAATATTTCTTATCTTGTATTCCGAGTTAGCTAATATACACACGTCGTCGGCATAACATAGAAAATTCAGAGAGTTATGCATGTCATTGTGGTGCAGTTGATCCCTGTAATGTGGGTTGAGTGCATATTCTTGTTTAAAGGATTTTTTTAGGATATCATTCATTATTACATTAAAAATAATAGGCGAGAGAATGCATCCTTGTTTAAGGCCCCTATTTGCTTTAAAAGGTTGTGATTTTACATTTAGATGTTGAGGTACTACGCTATGATTGTCATAAATTATCTTAATTAGCGTTATCAGATGCTTATCTATTCCTATGTTTTCCAGCAAGAGCCATATCTTGTGCTGTATAATGGAATCGAAGGCTTGACTTACAATCATTAGGGCAAAGATGGGGGATTTATGCATTCTAGCCTTTTCCAGAATAACTTTAAGTGCCATAGTCAACTCCGTAGTATTTCTACCCTTCCTGTATGATGTGATTGTGTTAGAGAGGAACCTGTTGATGATTGGTTTAATCCTGACAGATATGATGTATGTGAACATTTTTAGGGCAACTGTAATCAGTGCAATACCTCTATAATCCTTAAGGCTGTTTGGGGTCTTGTTTTTAGGGAAGTTTAGTATTATTGATGTCACCCATTCGTCAGGAAAATTACCCGTATTCCATATCTCTCTAAAGAGGAGAAGTAGTAAACTGGCACTTAGGTCTACATCTATCTTCCAGAGTTCTGCAAAGATCCCATCGACTCCAGCAGCTTTATGCATTTTTAGTCGTTTAATGGCACCGATTATATCCAACTTGTTCAGGTTCTGACTGGGTGATTGGAAAGGGTAGTCACATATAGGTCTGGGTCACCTCGTTCTGTAGAGGTTCATGTAATGGTCTATCCATATGACTAATGGTTCCTTTGGGTCAGTTATAATCTTATTGTTATTTAAGTGTAGTCTTGGTGAAGGATTGGTCTTGAAGGTGGTAAGTAGTTTAAGAGATTGGAAAGCCTTATAAATGTTATTGTTATCAAAATTGAATTGGACAGATTTAGATAAATTAGAGATAAACAGCCTTTTGTCGGCCCTTATGCGGTGAGTAATGTACCTCCTGTGATGTTTAGCGTATTGGTAATGGGATATATTTATTGTTAAGTTCTTAATTATTTGCATAGTCGAAGGGGTGAGCCACTCTCTGCGTTTAATGCGTGGTCTTAAACATGATGTAATACTAACTAATAAATTCAGCTTAATGTCCTTCCAGGTCAGATTTGGGTTTAATCATGGCATTTCATGTATTCCTCCATGTTGCTAATTTAGTGACGAACTCTTCCTTCACCTCTAAGTCAT